TGTCTAGCAACAGTAAAGGTTTGCCTTTCCTCTACATTGGATTTATTTTCACAATTTAATTTTTAAGAATTCAATTTTTCGGGCTACTTTGCTGGACCACACCACATTAATTTGTGATTTGAGAAAAAGTGAAAAAGTTTTCGAGAGAGTGACGTAAGACCATCCATGGTAAGACACGAAACGTGCTGCACAAGGGCAGCCAACGAGACAAAAAGTAAACAAAAGCTTTATGCATGGATAACTCAAAATTATGGCGCAGCAAAAACAATTGAAAAATCAAATACAGAACAAATTTGGAGTTTTTTGATGGTTATTTTGGTGTCGTAATTTGATTAACACTTTTATGTGTTACCTTCTCGTATGTACATGTTGGGCATGAAATTGTTTGCAAGTAAAGAACATTGAAAGAATAAGAAAAGTTGATATGATCCGTGTTTAGCTCATAGAACCAAGAACCAAAAGACAGAGAACACCAACGTTTGATTTTATATATTTTTCTACTTGTGAAAAGCTGACAGCCCAAGAACTTCTGTCAAATACCGTTTCTTTTTCAACTTTTTAAATTTTTCATCTATATTTTGAATACAATCATGCTCACCCATTTGAAGGATTAAAGTTAGATAGAATGGTGTCCTTGCAAAGCAGAATTGACAGCCAATCTGAGGGTCTTGTGGACAATGAAGAGGAAACAATAACGACCGATCCTGTATTATATTTTTTTCACAATTTAAATTTTTGAATTACATAATTTTTACATAATTTAGTTTAGTTTTGTGTTGGAACAATTTGTATCGGAGTTGTTCTAGCAGACTTTACGGGATTTGTGTGTTTATTGCAGGCTTGTTTATTTAAAAATGATAGCCTCGATTCCTGTGGATCATCGTCGAGTTCTTGCAGACGTCGAGCAGCAAGTATTGAATGGCCACCTCGAAAACAACCGCGAACAATTGAAACTGTTGAAGTTGGCTGTTTGAATGTAATATCAGGAAAATATGAGGTAATACAAATGGTAATCTTATCCATAATGTGTATAAGTTCAGTTTTTTTGTGTTGACAGCAAGTGTCCGTCTTTCTTTTTCTAGAGTTTAGATTACGATATTCCGGATAGTGACCTCCTTTTAGATGAAGAACGCAACAGTGGTCCAAAATATGAGACCAAAAAGAATATTTCAAGATGGGTAGTTTTTTCATTAATTGGAATTTTGACTGCTGGAATTGGTATAATTTTGGATGTGACTATTGATCAGTTATCAGAAATCAAGTATGGAACATTAAAGCACTGTATCCTTTGTCAGCAAAGTATCAATTTAACTTCTCTCTTACACTGGAAAAATATCACATTATCCTTATCTTATCAATAAGATGTTGACCGTTGTGTTGAAGACAACTGCTTATACATTCCTTATTTAATGTGGGTTGCTTTTAATGTTGGTTTTGTTCTTATTAGTTCAATACTTGTCACGTATGTTGAGGTAAGATTTATTTTTATTTTATAAAATAAAAAAACAACAAATTTATTTAATTAAATTATGAATAATTCTTCAAATTCCACAATTGTAGCCCGTTGCAAGTGGTAGTGGAATTCCACAGGTAAAGTGTTACTTGAATGGTGTGAAGATTCCTCGTGTCGTCAGGATTAAGACACTGTTGGTCAAAGTTGTTGGAGTTATTGGCTCTGTTGTTGGTGGTCTAGCAGTTGGCAAGGTAAGACAGTGAATTTCTATTGAAATCATCCCCGATTTGTTTGGTTTGCTCTCAATATTTTTACCTTTGATACAGGAAGGTCCCATGATACACTCAGGGGCTGTTGTAGCAGCTGGAATCTCTCAGGGAAAAAGTACATCATTTGGAAAGGACTTCAACATTTTGAACTTTTTTCGGGAAGATCATGAAAAGAGAGACTTTGTATCTGGTGGGGCAGCAGCTGGTGTAGCAGCAGCTTTTGGTGCTCCTGTTGGTCAGTAACAGACTATTGCCCTCATTTATCATCCCCTTTATCTCTCAAATAGTCATTTCAGACTCGTTGAAAATGTTATGTTACTTTCTAAGGTGGAGTTTTATTCAGTCTTGAAGAAGGTACAAGTTTTTGGAACCAGAGCTTGACGTGGCGTGTTTTTCTGTCAGCTATGATCACCACCTTCACACTCCATGGGATTCTTAGCATGTATTATGGGTATCAAGGTGAGTTTTCTGGATTTCTCGCATCCATGGATTCCACGCATCCTTGGATTCCATGCATCCTTGGATTCTATGCATCCTTGGATTCCATGCATCCTTGGATTCCATGCATCCTTGGAAGTCATGCATCTGTGTATTTTCCCTCCACTAACCATGTTCTTGAACTATTACAGGGAAGCTTTGGTATTCAGGTCTTCTGAGCTTTGGGAAATTCCCAGAAGTTCAATACTACTGGTATGAGTTGATTATTTATATGATTATGGGACTTGTAGGGGGTCTATCTGGTAGTCTATTCAATCATGTCAACTACCAATTAACAATTTTCAGAATGAGGTAAATCCTGTTTGCTAATTATTTTATTTATCTTTAAATTTAAATTTAAATTTCTTAATCTCTATTTCTCCAGGTATATCAACAACAAACTTTGGATGAAAGTTATTGAAGCAGCACTAGTTGCTGCTGTAACTGCAACTGTTGGTTTTGCCATGATATTTTATATAAATGATTGTCGTCCTTTGGGGCAAGATCCTACAAAATTTCCCATTCAAGTTTTTTGTGGCGATGGGCAGTATAATGCCCTTGGTGCACTATGGTTCCAGACACCTGAAACAAGTGTTAGGGCACTTTTCCAAGATCCTCCTGGTGAGTTTTCATTGTTCCTGTTATTAATCAATATTTAAAAAATATTTATCCAGTAAAATTATTTTATTTTATCTGCAGGATCTCACAAAGTAATATCTTTAAGTTTATTTTTTATCCTGTACTATCTCCTATCCATTTGGACCTATGGACTCAGTTTATCTGCAGGTCTATTCATCCCATCACTGCTGACTGGAGCTGCATGGGGCCGCCTGACAGGCATGGGACTTATGTGGCTCTTTCCAGACCAGGTTCATAAAATCCTTGTTCCTAGCAAAATTCTTCTGCAGGGTTTTTATCTAAATCTTATTTTTTGTCTTCAGGCATGGGTTGATGTCAGAAAATATGCTCTAGTTGGGGCAGCTGCACAGTTAGGGGGAGTTGTGAGAATGACCATCAGCCTAACAGTCATTTTAATCGAAGCTACTGGGAATATTTCATTTGGTCTGCCTCTTATGTTGACTTTGATTTGTGCCAAATGGATGGGTGATTTCTTCAATGAGGTAATTAATGCCCCCTTGCTGAAAATTTTCTTTTAAATTCCAACTTTATTTATTGACTTTGATGCTTAAGTACAACATTAATTTTTAGGGTATATATGACATACACATAATGTTGTCTGGTGTTCCTTTGCTACCATGGGAACCTCCTCCACTTTCCCATGATGTTTACGCCAGTGAAATTATGAGCCACCCTGTTGTGGTTTTACGTAGTGTTGAAAGAGTGGCGAGGATAGTTCAAATTTTGTCAGCTGAAACTCACAATGGTTTCCCTGTTGTGGATCCAGGGTATGAGTACCAGGTAAACCATAAACCCGATTCATAATTCTGCTAAAATAGTGAACAATATTTTTTAAAAACTCAATTTATGCTGTCAATTTTTCTAACTTTTGCAGGGAGACAAAGTTGCCTGTGGAAAGTTGAGAGGACTTATTCTCAGACACCAGTTGATAGTTCTTCTACAAAATAAAATTTTCAATGAAGTAACTGATTTGTGGGATTCCAGAAATCATGAGGTGGCTCTTAAACTCTTTCGGGATGAATATCCAAGATACAAACACATTCAGGTACATTTCGCTCCATTGCTGCTCATCAATTCCCACTTGTTCTACTTAAAAATTTATATTCTAATCTAATCTATCTTGCAGGACATAAGTCTGTCCTCAAAAGAGATGAAATGTACTATAGACTTGCGTCCCTTTATGAATTCTTCACCATATACTGTGATCCATGTGAGTAAATTCAATTCTAGCATTTCCTTTTAAGTGCACCATTGTTTATTAAGTTGTGTTCTTTTTTTTTTGCAGTCAATGACATTGCCTAGAGTCTTTAGAATGTTTCGGGCAATGGGTCTGAGGCATTTGCCCGTAATTGATGATAGTAACCAGGTAAAGCTCTAAAATATATTGAATTTTCCTCTCACTTGCTTTGAATAAAAAATTGAACTTTTGTCCTTTTTTTTTTTCTCATTAGGTTGTTGGTATGGTTACTCGAAAAGATCTTGTTAGATATAGAGTCAATCATCACAAGGGTAATATACGAGAGGAGCTGAAGATATCTGAAAAATTTTGATGGTTAATTCAATTTATGACATGCTTGTGACATTTATTTTTGTTGTTTAATTTGAAAAGATAGAATTGTCAAGTTGTTCTTTTTTTGTGAGAAGTGAAGGAAAAAAATGTTTGAAAACAGAGCTTTTGTAAACAATTTCCTTTTCATTTTAATTCTTCCTAATGTGGATATTTAAATGTGCCTTATGCATCTGTGATAATATATGAGGATTTTAAACAAGCCCATTTTGTGCATAATATTATTAACCTAATATAAGTGATTTAAGTCCATTGTGATATTTGTCAAAGACTATACAGATTAAATAACTATTTACAAGAAAGTTATCACTCTATATGTAACCCCTCAAACTCCAACCTCTGTCCTGCCATGCGTAACATGTCTCCAGATGGGACTTGGGCCTTAGTGCGCTTAGTGTGATGTTAGTGGACCATGAGCTTCCTTTACTTTCTAGTAATAAGTAAGTAACTAAGAACTAAGTATTTGATCTTATTTGATATATCTTCTCCCTCTATTCCCAAGTGGGCTGCGCCGACCAAAACCTCACTTAAATCATAACCTCTGTTCTTTTATTGAAAATGGTCGAGAGAATGGATGTAAAATTCCATTTCCAGTTTCCCTTTTGCCACCTCCAAAGATGTGTTGACTGAAACATTCCGCTCTAGAGAGAGAGAGAGAAAGATAGAAAGAGAAAAGGCATGGCATGAGCAAGAAAGGAGAAAGGTGGACGAACGGAGAAGCAAGAGAGAAGAAGATAAAGAGAAACCAGGAAAAGCGGGGGAAGGGGAAGCAGCAATAAGGGAGGAAAAGAAAGGCAGAGACAGAGAGAGAAGATTCAACGACGCAGCGTTAGAGAGAGAAAGACAGCTCGGTGAAGCCAGTAGCCAGTCTGATCCAGTCAGAGACCAACGTGCCCCGTGTTCGTGCCGTGTTGCCGTCGGACTTCCGGTTCATCAGCAGAACACGCATAAATTTTGCAGTGAATTTCTTTGTTATTTAATGTTTAGTTACATCTTTTGTTTGACGTATTAGTGCACACTTAAAATGGCAAACGTGGGAGCTCCTGATTCTTGGGAACAACAAGCAGATGCCGATGCGGGCGACGGTGCCGCTTCCAACGATATGTCGGCTAAGTTATCCACGTTAAATGTGAATGCAGTCGAATTCGTTCCGTCATTTTCCTTCAAATCAGCAGTAGAAGACGATAAAACGTCACCAAGTGACCCTGTGCCGCCTGAGGATTCAGGGCCCCTAACCAATGGTGAGAAAAGTTAGGTTAAGTCGTCCTGCCCACGGCCATTCTCATTTCGTTTCAGGACGGTCACCTCCGAAGAGATGTCGCGAACTGCCTATGCCGGTCTCTGCCCCAGTACCCTCCGCTTGCTTTCCTACTTACACGGTTTTAGTACCTGTCCATATTTGTGTTTGCTGCGCTATGTTTATTTCATTGCCTGCGCACCTTGTTCTTCACCATCCTTGTGGGGAAGATGCTGGATCCAGACACACCTTACTTGTTTCTTTAGCACTCCAAGATCCTCTTACTTTTGTATGTCATTATTTGTCAACTTTTCAACTCTTCAAGAAGTGTTCCTATCTTCAGGCACAGGCTCCTTATAAAATTCTTTAATGTTGTAGTAACATAGTGACATAATTCTTTGGATTTGGGCATTGTGCTAGTATTTTACCCTATCGCATGCCACTAATTCCTTTTTCTCCAACGAAGTCCCCAAAGCTCCCAATAACTTACATGATTCTTGATTTGTCAAAATAGTTTTATTGTAATTTCTACAGCTGTTATCTGTTTTTGTATTTATTTAAGGTCAAACTGCTCCAGATCAAGAAGAAACTGCAGCCAAAGTCAGTGAAGTAGATGAGCCACCACCTGGTGAAGCTAGTCCTCCAGCTGATTGGGAAACTGCAGATGGTGATGTTGACCCTTTGCTGACTCCTGACGATCCTGATGGAGATGAGGCGGCTGACACTGTTAGTGAAGCTATGGTCAAACCTAAGAAGAAACCTATTCAAGCAGAAGAAACCAAGAGCAAGAGGGAGCATGTCAATGTTGTTTTCATTGGTCACGTTGGTATGTCAAGTTATTATATTTATGTAGTTGTGTTGCACTATCTAAACAATTGTTTAAGTTGCAGCTATTTAATTACTTAATGCTAACATTTCAGATGCTGGAAAATCTACCATTGGCGGTCAGATTATGTCCTTAACTGGTATGGTAGACAAAAGAACATTAGAGAAGTATGAAAGAGAGGCTCGAGAGAAAAGCAGAGAATCCTGGTATCTGTCTTGGGCACTGGACACAAACCAAGAAGGTAGCAGTCATGGATCTTACTTTACTTTAATGCTCACCTTTATCATACCTAATCATTACTTCTTATTACAGAAAGAGACAAAGGCAAAACTGTAGAAGTTGGGAGAGCTTATTTTGAGACTGACAAGAAACATTTTACCATTCTGGATGCACCTGGACACAAGAGCTTTGTGCCAAATATGATAGGTGGTGCTGCTCAGGCTGACCTTGCTGTTCTTGTAAGTACACCCTTATTTTATCTCAGCAAGTGAATTTATTTTAACACGTTGAGTCCCACATGTCCACACGTATGGCCACAATAGCATGTAAAAGGGAACCCCCCTGGAACTCAACATGTTAATACATTTTAACACTTGTGTGTGGAGAGTGAGAGGTACTAAGCCCTAAAGATTAATTTAGCATTTAATGTACCTATATGTAATATGCAGTCAGTACTTGTCAGAGCTGTTGTTGAAACCTTGGGTATCTTTCATGTTATTTTTTGCCCCAGGTTATTTCTGCACGTAAAGGAGAGTTTGAGACTGGGTTTGATAGAGGAGGTCAAACTAGAGAACATGCCATGTTGGCAAAAACTGCTGGTGTGAAACATTTGGTGGTGCTTATAAACAAAATGGATGACCCAACAGTAAGATTTTTCTTTTTAATATTTGAGATCAACATCTATGTTATAGCGAATGTCCAGTGGCCAGCGAATGTTCAATCATAATCTTAATATTTTATTATTTTCTGGTTAAACTAACTTTAAAAAAAAAATGAGATTCATTCAGTCATTCACCAAGAAGGTTTCTGGCCAACTTCCGAAGGAAACCTCAGACTTAATTATATGGTAGTAACATGGTTAACACTGTAACACTGTTATTCATTTATCAAATTAATAATGGTGGATCCTGCTGGTGTGCCTTGTTGCAACAAGGTTTGCTCATGAGCCTAAGGGTTTCATTGTTTGCTGCTGCTGTGGCAGTGACCTTCCCCCAACTTTCTCTATGCCTACAGTCTTGACTGGATTGCACCCTTATTATTAATACTCCTATATGTTACGGTCCGACCCCGGTGCTCGGGCCAACCCAGGTTGGCCCGGTCCAAGCCAGCCTGGCCCAGGGCGGGTCGGGCCAAGCTGGTTTGCACTAAGTTTGGCCGGGCCAAAGGCGGGCCAAGGTAGTTAACATCAACTTGGCCCAAAGGCGTGCGGGCCAAGTCCAAAGGGGTATGAGAAATGGCATTAAAATCGAAGGGGGAAGTACCATCATCGTTAGACTGATTGCCATTAGAGTCTAGAGGTCTAGAGTCAGAGTTTCAGTTACAGTACCTCAGTTTGGAAAGATGGCTGTCATGCAGTTCGCTGATCCACTAAAATTACAAGACAAGACTAGATTTTACGGCAGACTTCAGAAAATCATCGATGATTCCTGAAGTCTGTCATAAAATCTAGTCTTGTCTGGTAATTTCAGTAGATCAGCGAACTGCACGACTGCCATCTCTCGAAACTGAGGTAACTGGGACTTGCTGGGACTCAAACTAATGGTATGGTCCAGTCTAACAATGGTGGTGCTTCCCCCTTCGATTTTAATTCGAGTTTTCATACCGCTTTGGACTTGGCCCGCACGCCTTTGGGCCAAGTTGGTGTTAACTACCTTGGCCCGCCTGTAGACTGGCCCAACTTAGTGCAAACCAGCTTGGCCCGACCCGCCCTGGGCCAGGCTGGCTTGGACCGGGCCAACCTGGGTTGGCCCGAGCAGTGGGGTTGGACCGTAACTCAGTCCCACGTTCCACCTTCAGACATCCACCAGAAACCAGCTTGGTGTATGTCCGAATTCATCCAATCATTTTAAGTTCTGCCATCTTAAAACAAATATATTTGGACATTTGCCAAACACCTTTGTCAAGTTTTATGTTTGCTTGAGAGAAACCGACAAATGCCCGGTTAAAGGAACTTCTATATATATGAAATGACATTCTCTATCGTTGGACATTTGCTGTAACATCTACTTTATTTTATCTAACTTGATACATTTTTTTAAAAAAAATTCTAGGTACTCTGGGCAGAGGAACGTTACAATGAATGTAGGGATAAAATACTGCCTTACTTGAGAAAGTTAGGTTTCAATCCAGCCAAGGACCTTACATTTATGCCAGTTTCTGGTCTTACTGGTCTAGGATTGAGAGACACAGTGCCTAGGGACATTTGTCCATGGTACTCAGGATCTGCATTTATCCCTTTTATAGACAATTTACCCTCTCTGAACCGCAAGACTGATGGACCTTTTGTTCTGCCCATTGTGGACAAATACAAAGATATGGGTACTGTTGTCATGGGCAAAGTGGAATCAGGTGAATGTAAAAAGGGAATGACTCTTCTACTCATGCCTAATAGGGTAAGCTGACGTTTTCCATTTACAGACATTTAAATTTAATCTAAAGAAAACCTTAACTAATGCAGGCTATTCTGTTACTTCTCTAGACATCAGTGATTGTTGACCAACTTTGGTCCGATGATGATGAAGTCACATCTATTGGCCCTGGAGAAAATGTCAAAATCAAGGTGAAGGGAATTGAAGAAGAGGATGTTTCTCCTGGCTTTGTGTTGTGTGACCCAGCAAACCCCATCAGCACTGGTCGAATCTTTGATGCACAAGTTGCTATTTTGGAGCACAAGAGTATAATTTGTGCTGGATATTCAGCTGTTATGCACATTCACTGTGTGGCTGAGGAAGTTACTGTTAAAGTAAGTTTTTTTTTCTTTTAAATTTCTTAGTACCATCTCTTTGTGCATGGTTAATACTTCTTTCTCCCTTATTTCAGGCATTGATCTGTCTTGTTGATAAAAAGACAGGAGAAAAGTCAAAGACTAGACCTCGATTTGTGAAACAGGATCAAGCTGCCATTATGAGGATAGAGTGTGCAGGAATCATCTGCTTAGAGCAATTTAAACTTTTCCAACAAATGGGCAGGTTTACTCTTAGAGACGAAGGTATGTGTGTTAAATGTAATTTACACTTCTACTGCAACCAGACTACTTTTCTTATTTCAAATTTTCTATCACAGGTAAAACTATTGCAATTGGCAAGGTGCTGAAGGTTATTGAATGAGACCCCATTTCATCAAAATAGACCAGAGCCGACAGCTGTGTCATTCATTGTGAGCGAGATGCAGCACATCCGTAAAATAATCAAATGAACATTAAGACATACTTGTAAATGTTATTGGAGTACTAGTGTGTTGCAAGTATTTGGCAAGCTGGTTTATCAGCACTTAATCAATTTTCTGGTGACTAGTGAGCCTGCGTCAACTTGATTACTACAACAGCATGGATTTGTTACTGTGTTCTTCAAAATTACCAAATGTGCCTAAAATGTGTAATGGGGTTTCTTCTGTATAGGGCCAGTTCTAATATGCAAATTTGGCCCGTTTTTTAATTTAATCGATGTTTTATGTTTTTACCTCCCTTCTATGAAGATAGCCTTACTTTTTTTTTCTTTTTGTGGTGCTCTATTGGGGAAATTTGTATGAATGAAGTAATTGTGAATGTATAGATGCATGTGTGCGCGTGTGTATGTGTATGCCAGAAGATATGTATGTTTTCAGAGTTATTAAACATTCACATATTAAGTTTCTTAGTTTTGCCTTGCAGCGTCCTAAGAGTCATTGTTGATTTTCTGAGCTCAAAGCCTTTTATTATTTTTTAGCTTTTGAGAACTGACAATAAAATTCCCCTAAAATGTTGTTAGCTATGGTTGTATCTTTGGTGTAAAGGTAAAAGGCATTTTTAAGCTACATGGGAAGAGCACAGTCTGGTGTGTTACAGAAGTATTTACATGTCTGCTTTTCTCTATCTTTGGAACAAGGTTTATTGCATTTAATTTGTTGGTTATGAGTGTATGCATACCCCCCCCCCCTCCCAAATCCCCCTGTTGCCCCCTCCCCCTCTCCCCCACTTTCTTTTGGGGTGCTGGATTGTTCTTAATCTGAATTCCTTTTTCCTTTCAAGAGTAGAGTTTGTTTTGTTGTTCTGGTTTTATTTTACCACTATGGCCCAGTTTAATAGATGTAACCTATTATCTGGAGCAGTGTAGGGGACATGGAGTATATGTTTTATATGGTTTTCCCATCACATAGAAGAATTGGTCACTGGACCAATTCATTCTTTCGGTTCAGGAATAAATGAAATGCCATATTTCAATGTGTAGATTCTTAATTGGCCAAATGTCGAGTTTGATTTTGAAATATACTGTTGGAATCATCCTGGAAAGAAATCCTGTTCTTGCTGTGATAGTGATGAAGGGACAAAACCAGAATTAATCAGTGACCAAACTATTCCTGGAATGCGTTTTGGTCCCTTTGCGAAATGGTATTCAGAAACTACTTCGAATACTGATATTGGTTTAGCTGACAGTTATTGCTTGTTAACCGTTTGTAAATATTAACGTTTTGATGCCTGGAAAGAGACTGTTTGGTTGAATGAGCTATAGTTTTTATGAAAAATGTGTTATGTTTCTAATTGATAATAGTAAATAGTTATGGAGTTCCATAACTCACTATCACATTTTGAGGCTGATGTTGACAACTACGTATTTCTTTTGACCTTTGTGCATTGGTGTATATTGGGAAGTTATCTTAAAAAATTAAAAAGTTTTAATTTCATGACTACACATTTACTTAACGTGGAAGAGCAATTTTGGTATGTGTGATTACTAAGAAGTATTTTTGTAGGGACCTGAGAAAACACTGCCTATATAGTTGCAATTATTTTGGTATAGTGCTGATATTATGGCTTACACTATTGTGTTATTAATGCACTACTGCATCCCATTGTTTTCCAAGGACCCTGAGAGTTTTGTGCTGGATTTTTAATGCTTACCTTAAATTCTATTAAAATCATATGACTTAATCATAGTCTGCTATGCTTGGATTTGAGCTATGTTGAGTTTTACCTGTGACATCTTATTGCTGTCCTGTCAAGGGACTGCCCCCAATGTTGTAAATATGGGAGGTTTAGGGATTCTTCTGTTTATTTTTTCTATCAACTCGTGATCAAGCAGTTATGGCGCAATTGGGACTGAGTGGAACTTAAGTGTTTCCTATAAAACTAGTTACATGTTTGGTAATTCATTAATTCATGTTCACAATGGCTGTATGGTACTGCAACTGTTACAAGTTATTGAACTGTTGGCTCCAGTCTTCATACACCTTTTTTTCTACTTGAGTATTGAGCAGATTTCCAGTAAGGCTCTATGCTACTATTGTGCCCAATATTTACAGTGCAAATAAAGTATCTTAAGAAAAGAGTTAAGTACCCTCATTGTTTCCACTGACACTATATCAAGATTCATACCTACATCCTGGAGAAATGACAAAATTCATACTTAAACTTGTAACTTGAAATAATAACCAGCAATATTTATCTATTCTATATAGAGCTGCCACAACTGAGATGAAATATTATTGCCAAATGTCTCTCTCTCGGAAAATAGTTCTCTCATCAATTTAAATTTGACGAGCTTTCCCGCTGTGGTATAACCTCAAAATCCAGGGCCTCCTGGAGGTAAGTTGTGTGTATCAAGGTGACTGTGGTAGCGTTGTCGAGAGAAAACAAACGTGAAACCCCAACACGCGCAACATTTGTCAGCTGTTTCTCAGTGGAAATGAAGTGATTATGCCAAGGTCGCCAAAGTTTACGCAACATTTATGCAAAATCTTGTAAAGCACGTAGATGTCTTAACGCAAGGACTAAAGACTGGAATATCTGGACTCATGAACCTCACAAGTCAAGATACTGTTACTGCTAGTGGTGTATTTTTTGTTAATTTTAACCAAGATTGCACGTAAGTATGCGTTTTGACAAGAGGCTTGTCTTGCATCGCAGTATCAATCCTTTGTTCTCAGATGATGCGTTTGATGAAATATACTTGGGGTTTAAACCTTAATATCCTCCAGCATTTTGATTCCTGTCACTTTGACTTCATTTAATCCAGCAATCTGTTCAAGATTGTCTTTGTGTTATATTTTCTATCTGTCCATTCAGTAAGCTCTCCATAGTTCTCAATAAGGTACATTCTGTCAAACTCAGGATTGTACTATCTGTATCTAAGGTGTTTTTTTCCTTTTAATGTTATTACTCATGAGTTCTTATGTTCAGAGGTCCAATCATAACTACATTTTCATTTGGTTACTCTTTGTCTTATTTAGAATTATGATGAGTATGTTACAAAGGAAAGAGTTTTTGTTATGATTTGTCGTGTAAAACTCAATCAAAAGCTGTAATCCCCAATTTTTACTGAGATTTAACCTTGTAATTTGTATCATATTCAATATTTTCTAGTGTAAAATTGACTTTCCTGTTCTCTTTGTTTTACTTTAGGTCATTAGCTGTTGGGGCACGAAATGGATATCGCCTGTTCTCACTTAATGCAGTTGATCAAATTGAACAAATATATGAAAATGGTCTGTAGTTCAAAAATATCAATTTTGTTACCCACTTTCCACTCTGCATGTAATGTTAAATGTAAAATACATGATTTTTGGTGCTTATTGTTATTATAGACTCAGAGGACATCTGTATTGTCGAACGATTATTTAGCAGTTCTCTTGTGGCAGTGGTCAGCCTCTCTTCTCCCCGCAAGCTGAAAGTTTGCCATTTTAAGAAAGGCACAGAAATATGCAACTACTCATATTCAAATACTATTCTTGCTGTGAAATTGAACAGGGCTGTATGTGTCTCCTTTGTTTTTGGGGTGTTTGTTTCTTGTTACATACGGTTATCATCAAATTTGTAATAATGTTCTGTTTGTAACAGCGTCTTGTAGTATGTCTGGAGGAGTCACTGTACATTCATAATATCCGTGATATGGGTGTTCTACATACTATACGTGACACGCCACCCAACCCAACAGGATTGTGTACACTTTCTGTTGATGCTGATAACTGTTATTTAGCGTATCCCGGATCTAACACAATGGGAGAAGTTCAAATTTTTGATGCTGGTAATCTGGTGAGTTAGGATTAAAGAACTAATTAGACATTAGGAATGTCTTATTAGAGAATATATAAAATGTTCTTTGTACTTGTTGGCAGTTACTGATCTTTAAGAGAGAATTTTTGTTTACTCTTTACAGCATGCTAAAACAATGATTGCTGCCCATGATAGCCCTCTGGCAGCATTAAGCTTCAGTCAATCTGGAGCCAGAATAGCAACTGCTTCAGAAAAAGGCACAGTTATCCGAGTATTCAATGTGTCTGATGGCACTCGAATTCATGAGTTCAGAAGAGGAGTGAAGCGCTGTGTATCAATCTGCAGTTTAGCATTCAGTCATGATGCTACTTTCTTGTGTTGTTCATCAAATACAGAAACGGTTCATGTTTTTAAACTTGAAGAACCCAAAGAACCGTGAGTAGAGTTGACATATACCCTCAGCTTTGATTGCTGAATGTTTGTGATGGCAAAAACTTTTGTACCAAGGTTTCTTTTAATATTTTTTCCCCTACCAATATCACTTGTTTTTTTATTGTCCCCTTTTCCTCTCCTCTTTGCATGCTGGTTGTTTTCATCCCTTCCTTCTAAATCTTCATCTTTCCTTACATTAACTTATGTAATGGTAGAGGTTTTCTTTTAGGTGGTGCTTTTGCTTCTTTAGTTATATATATTTACTGCTGATCTTTTGATAGTTTAGTACAAGACTGTTTGCACTTTGTGCCACTTTTGAATGCTGCACTCTATTTACAGGAGGGAGCAAGTATCTAGTGTTGGATCCAAAACCCAAGGCCATGGCATGTACGTACTAACCAGTTGGCTTTAGCCTGCGTCTGTAGAGTAGTAATTGTCATAAAGCATGAAATTCACATATCCTTGCTGCATGCTGTTAAAAACAATTCTCTTAGTGATAAAGCACATTTAATGTGAATTTTTAGATGGTGTCTTATAAAAATGTTGCACTCTATGTTTTGATAGAACTGATTTATTCCAGGCCCAAACAGGCTGTAGAGGACTCTCAGGGAGGCTGGATGGGTTATTTTTCCAAAGCTGTCAGTGCCTCAGCCAACTACCTACCAACACAAGTCACTGATGTCTTCAATCAAGGAAGGGCCTTTGCATCTGTTCGATTGCCCTTTCAGAACAGACGCAATGTTTGTGCGATCACTATGTAAGTAGTCTACAGTTATCTATCCATCTATTAGTCTTTTTTTTTTTTTTTTTTTAGAAAAACAGCTTATTGGCTATCTGTTATTTTGTAATTTATTTTTTAAAAGGATTCAGAAGCAAATGAGACTTTTAGTTGCATCTCAAGATGGTTTCCTGTATGTATACAGTCTGGACATGAATGAAGGTGGTGAATGTACACCTCTCAAACAATATAGGTATTTTAGTTCAATGTTAACTAGTTTTAGTTAAGACTGCTGATATTCCATCTATGACATTAAAATTGTCCTTGCAATGTAACTTTCTGTCATTTTAGGTTGGATGGTCAACCAGATCTCCTGAATGATTCTTCGGCAAGATTGCCAGTGGCTTCACCTGCTCCTGCTCAACCAAGCGGTAAGTTGTTGCAAGCCAGCCTGCTCTGTTAATTTCTACTTGGTGAAATTTGTGTGCTGCGATGCATGAATTTAGACATACAATGGTTTTTAAACTAATGTTATGAAGTTCAGTGTTTGAGATTTAATATTGTGTTGTTTTTTAATTGTATTTATCTCTAATTTCTCACTTACCGTAGTCCTTTGTGGAACTACATGAATTCCTTGCCTACAAAGAATGAACTGGTGACTCAAGTTACAGCACATTGAGACTTATGCTCATTGTGCAACTTTGTTGCCACACATTTCATATTAAGCACTTCAAATATTACACTTCCCTCCCTACCTTGTGGGACACTCTTGTGTATTTGCATAAGTCTAGGATTAGGAGAATAACGTAGAGTTTGGGGCGGTTTGTTTTTTCTAGATAGTCACAATACCCTTTACCGCATTAACTGAAAACGAGCAGGTATTTTCTTTTCTACCTTGAATATTTTACCTAATATTATGTGTAATATTCAACACCTATTTTTTGGCAGCCTGGTTTTATGACAAAATCATGACAGTTATTGATATCTTAATATAATGTATTTTTGATGAGAAACTAAGCCAACACGCCCTTTAATTTTGTTGTCACGACTGCTGTCGTCTATTTTCTTTACTTACCTTTGTGATTTGTAGTGGTTTTCACAGATTTTCTGTATGAACTCTATACTATCAGATCTTGTTTCTTTTTGTTTCTGTGATTTCCCGGCCCCGATCACGCAGGGTCCATAAGTAGCTACGCCGGCATTTTGAAAGGTCACTCTCCCGACTCCATGTCAGGTACTGGTACGTTGGGCAATTTTTGTCCCCTCCCCCTACAAATTTTTACACTTCCTCTGCATTTTCATCTCTTAATCCACTGTTCCATGTTGCTTTGCAACCTTTCTTCTGGGGACCATTATTATATCTAACTTGGGTGAAAAGCACTTTCAGAGAGCATTAGAAATATCAGTACAGTGCGGTTCATTTTTTTTCCCTCAATAAAGAGTATTGAATGTACACATATAGATTGTCTTCAGTTTGTGCATTGCTGGAGGGGAATACAGAATTTTTTATCTCTCTTCTTTTTGAGAGTTTACATATGGCAAGGAATTATATGCTTTTTAGCACTTAGTTTATAAGATAATGGCTTCATCTGTATTGTTTTATTGCGCTTTGGTGAGAGCTGTACTGATGCAGACCAATGTCATTGGAGGTGATGTTTTTATCACAATGTGTGCATTTAAGTTTTTAATACATAGACTTTTGTGATATAAGGGTCTTTTTTTCAGTTCTTTGTTTGGATGTTTGTATTTTTCTTAACCAAATAACCAGATATTTTTATTAATACTGCACTATAACAGGCAGCAAAATTTCCAAACTCTGAGTGGATTTGTGGGGAAACATCTGGAGGGTTCCCCCTGTCTAGAGGGTCCCCCCTGAATATTTTATTAATTTTTATTATTTTAATTATAAAATTAGTTTTTAATGTTTAAACACTAATTAAGTATTAAAATTTTGTTTAGTACTATTTTGTAAGGTCTGGGGTGTCTAGAAGTTTTTGAAACTGCCTCCGAATTTTGTGTTTCTTGGGCTCTTGCTCTCAACATTGCATGCATGTGTTAAATGTTAGTTGCGGTCTGTGTAGTAGACATTTGGCTAAGAGAATTAGTGGTTGCGTTCTCTATGCAGTAGGACTTTATTGGATGTGTTGAAATGTCGTACACTTACAAGTATTCAAGACATCCAAAAGTCAAACAACAAAAATGCTACTGCGTTTCTTTTGGGTACATCAAGTGTGAGGCAGTATTTGTTTCTTTCAAAAGCGCACAGTTCAAAGCGACACAAATTAAAAGAACTGTGTATTAAAAGTAATTCACCTTGCAATAGACATCTGCACACTGTACTTGATGTATTCAAACGGAACGCATCAACATTTTTGTTTGACATTTTGATGTCCTACCAAAAGTCCACGACATTTCCACACTTCAGAAAACGTGCTACTGAATAGAGAACACCAACATAATTTCTAATAGCCAGATGTCAACTCTACAGATCGCAACTAGCAAAGACAGACTTCTGCTAGGAGCAAGAGCCCAAGAAACAGCTCATCAGGAACCAATATGAACAATTCCTGGGCCACTCTGACCTTTAAAATTAGTTGTAAACAATATTTTAACATTTTATCTATATTTAAATGTTAAAAATTATTTTTTAACAAAACCTATTAAAAAAAATAACAATCAGGGTCCAGACAGGGGACCCTCCAGCCAGGACCTACCCAATTTGTGTTTCTTAGCTCTGATTAGTTTTTGATTTGAACAAGTATTCAAGTTGATCCCATTTGTATTCACCTTTTCTAATAACCCTGTATTAAGAAAATTGCATAATTAGTTGGTAGTTTTTCACTGGCCTTTGTGTCTTTGTACCAGATTCAGAGAAATTCCATGAAATGGCTGCAGCAACAGAGGCGCCTCCCCAGGGAGCTTTCCGTTTTGATGATGAGAGTGAGTTTCCACCAGTTACTCAAAAAACAGAGTAACTACTATTATCAAGACAAGAAGATTGTTTGAACTGAAATAATTTGGTTCATTTTTCTGGATACAAATGAAGAAGAAGATTGTTTACCAGCTCAGCTGAACTATTTTCAAATGTAGCTCAAAACTAAGTTAACGCACAGTGCTACTTCCCTGTGGTTGTGTTGTTTGGTGTGAGCCATTTGAAAAGTGCTTCTTACTATCCAAGTACCTGTGACACATGACTCTTAGTAACAGCTGTATCTTAGCAATATTTCAGCTGTATAAGAATTTTCTCAATTATTTTTTTTTGTATTTTGGGGCTTATGTGAAAATATTTCTGCCACTTGTACTTTCTCCTGTGTTACCATATAGACTTAAAGACAGTTTTATGAAAGAAAACAAAACAAAACTGGTCATGTATTTTTGTGCTGGGTTTATTTTTGTTATAAAACGTATTCAATCTATGCAAGGAGTTGTAAACTATGAATATTTCACTCCGTTGATATCTTCTGTCTCTCTTTCTTTCTTTGAGGTAGAAGAATTTGATTTGACATATCACATTTTGTTAGAAGCAAACGGTGCCATTTGTTTTTGATTCACTACACCTCTAAACTTTTTAAAAATGTGACCTATTTTATGTAAGCTAATTAAATTTACAGCTACAGTAAAAGATAAATCAGAAAATATTAGATTTTTATGTACTAGACCTCTTAGATTGATCCACAGGTAAAGGATTACTTCCCTACAACAATTACCTTGAGTGAAAAAATAGCTTGGCTTGCTGATCTGTGTATATCAAGTTATGCACATGATAGTTCTTTGTTTGCCATCTTGTTTAACCCTTTTTAATGGTATAATCTTTTTTATTTTCACAAATTTGTGTTTGGTACCGGTATAAGCTATACTAATATGATGGTAACAATGTATTTTGTGCTCAGGCTGTTTTAGGTTTTTTTATGATATTAGACAGTAAAGCTAAGGTATAAGTTATCAATTGTAAAAGTAGGTCTAATTCACTTTTTGTAGTCCATTTTTCCTCTGCCAGAAATACAGAATCGAGTTGTGTAAGATTCTTGTCCATTTTATTTATATTTGGCACATTCATTTTTAGCCAGTTTCTCTTCCTTTTTTTTTAAAGACATTAGTCATTATGTGGGATAAAGTGGCTGCACAGCCTAGATCTCTTTGTGCCATATGCTGTGCTTTTGGAGGGAAATTGCCTAAGTCAAAATGAGCACTTTTCGCCACTCAACTGCCGGGGCATTTTAATGTTTACTTAAAAATAATTTGTGTCAAATCTCTTTACAGTAAAGTTAAATGAATATTTTACGGATTCAAAATGTTAACAAATATTGCTCCATGAAAGAAAAATTATCTGGTATCTGAGTGATTATGCTGTCTGGTGATTCAGCTACTTACTGTTGGTAAACTTAACCTTTTCAGAATATATTGTCATCTGTACCAGAGTATTGGTATATTAGACATGTGACCAGATGGGGGTGTATAAGAAATGGCAGAACTATATAAATGTTCAAAAGACCTGCAACAACACACTGGGGTGTTATTGTTTCTATAAAAAGGAAAAAAAAAAGTCATAAAATTGAAAATGATTGATTAAAAATATCTTATTGTTTTATTGAAATTTTAAAATTAACAAAAATATTTAATGATCCCTACCCTTCTCTTTATAAAATAAACTGAATCTTAGGTCTCTGATGGGGAAACTGCTTCCAAGTCTTCTTGGAAATTGTAATTAGGGTCAACTTTATTGTTAACAAAATCTTAATACTTTAAGTTCAGAGTTTATGAGCGAATTTCTTTTGTAAATAGTGTATGTATATACTCAGTAGCATACATCTAGACATGTGGATTGTATCTCTCCGTCCCTTTTCAGCCTAACTTTTTATTAAGGGGGAAAATTATTAGACTGACCATAAACTCTCACTTTTGGTTGTATACTGTTTTCAATTCAAATATTTTTGGCTGGAGAGGGAAACTAGGACCAAAATAAATGGAATAAAATGTTTGTTTATATAAGATATGCGTACTACATGACCCATTCTGCACTGCCCCTCAAAGTAAAGCAAACAAAACAAGAGTAAAAAATCACTAAGGCTTCCTTGCTTGAAGACAGCCTCAAGGGTGACTGGTTACTGCTGGCCCTGGAATTTCCCCACTAAAATACTATATGCACTTTCAAATACCTTTCTTAAATAATAAAAAAAATAATCAATGGAAGAAAAATTTAAAAACATTGTTTATTAGTACACAATTTGCATTGGGAACATAAAATATTTTGCTTTTACCTTTCACTAACTCACTTGCCGGCAAAGCTAAATGTCCAAAAATAAATCTTCATATTTCAGAATAAATATTGACATCAACTTAACACATTGAGTCCATGACCACACAAATGGTCATATAGCACACAAAAGGAACCTCTCCCTCAGGACTCGACATGTTAATCACCCTGTTGTCTCCCTTGAACTAACACCCATCCTGACTAATAAGGGTTATCCATACTAATGGAATTGACTTGATTGAAAATTAAGCTTAGATGATAGGGGATACACTTAATAAGGGAAAAGCTATATCAACAATCAAATACATGTACTAGGGAAAATGATAAAATACAATTGATCCCTCTACAATACTGTGAAAGAACCACACTGCCAGTGAATAAAAACTGTTACATTGTTGAATACCATACAATCTTGGCGGAGTGAAGTTAATGAGGGTGGTTGAGTAGTGGTTGAAACTTCCATGTACTGCGATCACTGTCTTATATGTTAATTTAACCGAATTGATGGTTTTGCTTTCCACAAAAAGCTAAGTTCAAAATGGATCAGAGTTGTATTAAGTGACAATGAAACCTTGATGAAACAGGTGGCAGCTATTTTAAGCACTGTAAAATAACACAAACCAGAACTGGGCCCTGCTTTCTACTCCTTCACACTTCCATTGTCCTTTACTTTATACCCTGTTCGGTGAGAGAGAAAGAAAATAACTTACGGTCAAACTCAAATCATAACCATATAAATAACTTGGTTTCAAAAATTGTACTTTTCTTAATGAAGCTAACCCCTTGTGTCCACAGACATGACATGGTAGACTCAATGTTGGGTACACACAATGCCAACAAATCTACTGTATAAATCTATGCAAAAAAATTACTGACACTGTTAAATCACTTGTAAGAAACTGACACTTAATGTAAACATAATTTTTTAAGACGTTAAGGATCATATTGAAATCCTTACATGCAACACATGTGATAATTTCATTTCAGAAGCTCTATCAGCAAGTTTGATGCTGAGACAATGAAATCATGCAAAATTTGATCAGGCTTTAACAGTTTTACATTAAACCTAACAACTCTCATAACTACGGTATAACTACAGTATCAAAATAAACGAGACCATACAAAACACAGTCTGTCAAGAGCAGAGGCATTTTGTTAGTTCTTGTGAAGGTTGATATATTTATTTTTAACATTCTTAAAGTCTGGTGGTTTTATATAAATGGGTTCTTGCATTTGCCTTGGTTGTCATCATATTCTTTAAACACGTATTACATTTGACATCATGCAAATGTTTCACCACAATTTCCATTGCAACAGATTTATTAGAGAAAACCACCAGACTATGCAGAAAAGTAGCTGTGTGCTGTTTAGAAACTGACAGCAAGAAAACAAATACAATAATTCATAGTAGATGCTTCATGCACTACTAGATACTGATTTACTATTTTCTTGGCCTAGAGGCTGGAATGCTCCCATCCTCAACACACACAGAATGACCCAGCTATACTGATCACAGAGTATGCGCTCGTGCCACACACACTACTTTGTTGGTAACTGTCAACCCGGCTATTTCTTCTAGACAGACAGCTACTATTTACAAGACAAAAGTGAATTTACTTAATTTTTCATTAGGTACAGTGTGACACTGAAGGCACATGATTTAAGTTAAGCCTCCCTTACTTAAAATAGACCAATTACTAACTTGATCACAATAAGCTTGCATTAGGCTTCAGAACACAGATTGGTCGGAGGCCTGCTCCTCTCTCTAAAGCACTACCCAGAGGCTTCAGAAAACAAATGGCTTATTCATCAGCTACATCCGTGAAGAAGGAAAAACTTTTCCTTAAAAACAATTTACTTCCTATTCCACGCAGATGGAAGAGACTCAGTTGTAGATAATGCTGGAAAGTTGTTTTCAAGTGAGTGAGTTGATACATGAACTCTTAAGTCAGAGGGTGCCAACACCTGACGACATGATGCACAAACTTCAAATTTTGGCTGGGTCCCTTTTCCAGAATTGAACTGTTTGTACACTGTCAAAAGATCCTTAAAACATAAATTTTTAAATTAGTAACAAGATAGAAAATAAATAGTTGTGTTTAAGCAAATGAGCAAAAAAGGAGGCTGGAACTCACCTGTTGTCGATCAATTTCAGGGAGCAGTACAAGCATTTCAGGAAAAAAGTCATTAAAAGCCTTTTCACCCATGAGCTCTACACAATGCTTGTAGTAGGATGCTGATGACAGTTGTCCCTGTCTAAAAAGAATGGATTTCTGCCTAAAGTCCTCCTGCAGGCTTGGATCTCTTAAAGTGTCAATAACTCTTGCCATTAATGCAGCATTTCGGCGCTGAAAGTCTGGTGGTTGAACAAATTGATGAAGAGTAACAGTGGGTAGGATTGGATAGCTTTCACCACTGCTACTTGTGAAAGTAAGCTGGTTGGATGATGGGCGAGCAACAGAATTAACTTTTACAGAGAAACCAGGTGGAGGAACCGTTTTCAAACTACCCACAGGCTCAACTGGCAATTCAAAGCCAGGAGGGGGGTTTATAGTGGAGGAACCAGAGGATTTTGGGGCAGAGTTGTCTCCTCTTAAAATTGACAGCAACCTGTTGGTTGTGTCTTCCATGCTACTTTGAGTTTCATTAATCTGCAAACTTTCAATTTGAAGCTCAGACCGCTTCCTACTATTGCTGCTTTGAGAAACGTCTGGGGTAGGGTCTTGGTTTTCTTGGTTGGCTTTGCTCTGATTACCATTTTCATTGTTATCTAATTTACCATTTTGGCACTTTGGTCGTTCTTTAGCTGTTTCTTGTTCATGAGGTAGTTGTTTTTGCTTTTTCTTCTTTTTACTAGATTCAGAACTTGCATTGCTGAAAGACTGTTCAGACAAAACCTTCTTGTCACCTTGCACTTTTTCACTCTCAGAGGAGTTAACATTTTTGGTCTTCTTTTTCTTCTTTTTAGATTTTGTGTTGTTGGCAGCATAGGATTGCACTTCACTATCACTTGATTTTTCAGGAGAATTATCTCTTGCTTGCCGAGACCAAGAGTTTGACATTGGGATGGTGATAGAAGACGCTTTCTTAATGTTAGGATTCTTTTGAGAGATTTGAGCACCAGAAGATGAAGGACCCAAAGAAGGAAAATCCTCTTCAATAACAAACTGTGGTTTCTTGGAAGACAGTTGGTTTGTTGGTTTACTATTTAGCAGTTGAGCAGCTTCAGCAGAACTCAGGGTACTGACTTTACTTCGGACCTGAATCAAAAAGCATAGTTCAAATATCAGTATGTTTTTTGTTTTGTCTCTCTTAATTCTTAAAGACAGAGCAAATGAATATGAAAGTAGGTAGATAGTAAAAAGGTATCAAGATTTTATTTATTTTGAACTTTTGTTGAAGTACGCTTTATCTAGTTTAAAAGCTTTAAAATATTTACCGGATTTTGTCCATCTGCAGGTTGAGATGAAATCCATTGTTCTGCAGATGTGCCGCGATATGAATCCAATGGCTTCAGAGCTGGAAAATTGGCATCTCCCAAATCTGAAGTGCCATTAGCAGGTGGTAAGGGACCACGCATCCGCATGTTACGGTTTGACAATGTTTGCATAGAGCTTTGAGGTTGTGTTGGGTTTGTTCCCGATTGCCTCCTGTTTACTTGAATGGAGAAATTTGTTGGTGCACTGGTTGGTCTGTCCTGCTGTGCTCTACTGTTAACACTTAACCATACCTGAAAATGTTATCAACATGATTAAGAATTATGAAAAATTTCAGCATATTTTCAAGACACCCGTAGATAGAAGGAATACCTTGTGGCTTGGAGCAGGAGCAGCCTCAGACAGGGCAGGGAAGTTTTCGTCAGTTTTCAGAGGTGGACGACCAGCTCGAATCATTACTGCACTGCCTCGACCTTTGTTTCCTCCAGAAGAAACAAGGGAAGGGACTGAACTAAAATTCCCACCCAGAGATGGAAAATCATTTGGATTAAGACGTGGTTCATCGATTGGGCGAATATCAGGGGTAGGTTTTAAAGTAGTTTCCACTTTGGCAATTGCATCTTCCCTATTGCAATTACATGCACCAGCATGATTGCTGAAATGAAAAAAACATAAATATATTGAAAAGTACAAAAACGACTTCACTTTCATTCCATAACATTATTAGTACCAGAAAGATGAAGATGGAGATGTAGGACGGCGTGCAGGTCTGTCTCCACCTCTAAAATTCCTGTCTACTCTCTCTCTACGAGGAGCAAGGGTAAACTCAACTTCTAGGGTGCGAGCTTGTTTAATTGCCTGTTTCCCCATAGAACGGCTATGACTCGAAGCCCTATGAGCTGTCAATATGATAAAAAGATTATGAAAATAATAACAAATTACAGAGCCAAGAGCACAATGAATAAAGGAAGTTTTGAGTAAGGATTAATTAAGAACTCCCTTCTCTACCTTTTAAATCAATCTCAGAACGAAACGCTGATGTAAATTGTTCCTCATAGCAAGTCCCCTCTTCACAGAGGTAATGCTCTTTCTTAAAATGTTCCCTTAAGACGTCATAAGTACTAAAAGAAAAGAAAAGAAAAGAACCCAAGAAAAACATTAGTGAGAAATGCAACATTATCAAAAGAAAAATAATACCCTAACTCACTTTACCTGTAATACTGATGTAACCCATCAGCATCACAAAAATGACAGAATAAGTGATCTTTACGTAAATGTCGGAAAAGTTCATCATTGTCCATGTATCGCTGGTCACAAAATTGACATAGTGGATGCCCTTTGTGTGACTTATCATCAACATCACCTTTCCTTCTGTGGTGAGCAAGATCTTGTCTTGTATAAACTCGTCTTTCATGGGAAAATATCTGTAAAGAAACAGAAATTAGTCCTTTCAAAAAGAAAAGGTAAAATTGACAAAGCACCAAATAATAATAATAATAATAATTTGGATAATGATAGCAGCATATCTGTTTGTTACATCATATAATTTTACCTTGAGATTATCGACACAGAGGTCACAATAAAATAATTCATGACTTTTCCGCATATGATCTTTAAGAAGTTGAAATGTATTATAAGTTTTGGATCCACCACAAATGCTACATTCATGCTGAAGAAGACTTTCAAAAGCACTTTTCGCTGGTCCTCCATCAAACAAGATTTTAAATTCTTTGTCGCTTGGATAAGATTTAGTAGCTACTTCTTTGTATGGCCGTACGTTCTTGGAGAAAATGACCTGTAACAAAAACAAATTGAGAAGCTCTTAAGTAAAGAGCACAGTCAGAGAGAATTTCAAAACGTGGGCACAATACACCCTTGATGTAAAATAAGGGACTGCATAGAGCACTGGGCTAACATGGCGTTCCCTAGTCACATGATAAGCTAATGTCAGTTAAAAACCCAAAATAGAAAACTTTATTTTATTTAAAAGTCAGCGCATAACACAGTAATAAGCCTTGGTGACAAAATTGTTCTCAATCATGTAAATATCGACGAAAGAGTAATAACCTCCAAAAAGACCCACACTACATTGCTTTAGCATGTAAACATATGCCTGACTATCTCCATTCTTTAAAAAGAAAAACGGAGGGTAGTGTAAAGTTTTGGAAAAAATCATCAAAATACACACAATTTTAAATAAATTAAATACCTTGGGCAAATCTTGTCTACATATGGGACACTCGTTTTGACGGCAAAGAACACGCATTCTTGTTGAGCATTCATAGCAAACAGGATGGTCACAAACTCCTATGGAGAATATCTCCATTGTCTTAAAGCACACAACACAAGTATTATCTGTGGTCGACATCTTGAAGGATCTTAATTGTTCAGGTGAACTAAAAGAGCTTTAACAGTATTGCCCAACCAAAACTCTGCAATATTTCCACCCAGCAACTTCCAACACAGTCCACGGTCGACCGACACGAGCGCCTTCTCAAAATTGAATACAAAGACCAGCCAGCAAGAGCAAGAAGCGAGAAACTAAGACCCCCGACCCCAGTCAGAAGTCAGATTTTTCTCCTTCTTTGATTGGTCGTAACTTAATTCCCATGATGCACCGCGATGTTTAAAGAGGCGCGCCAAATCAACTATGCACACGCGCGTACAGAAATTGGTAGAAATTTCTACTCTAAGGCTCGGCCATCTCAAATGTCTACGATGATGTTTACGGTGATGCGAGTGTCATTTCATTCGTCGTTGACTTAAATCGTTCGTTCGTGTTGTATTATATTCACGGAGCCCCGTATGTCACGTTCGTGTCTAGTATCTAGTATGTTTTATATGAGAAACTGACGAGTTACAGCTTAAACAGCTAGTTAAGAAATTATTCAAAATCATTTTTTCATAATGGTCTCATGTACTCTATTTTATAAATTCTAGAGCCTCGTAGCCGTGTCACTAGAGACCCCAGAAACAGTCTACTTTTGCGGATCAATAACCACGAACCAAGTCAAAACTTTTCCTTCCCTACCCCATTAAATGAGCAATAGTGACAAAATTTAGTATCTACAACCATTGTTTGGTATTTTTTCCGGGCGGTGGTATTAATTTCGCCATGGAGTCAGTGATATACAGCACGCGAAAATATTGGTGGATTTGAGCATAGTTGTGTCGCTTGCGCCTTGCGCCCCTCTAGCACTGCTCGCTGCTGGCAGGACCTCCAGGACTCAGCAGGCAGGCTCAAAAGCTGGCTGACGCGCTTAATCAAAGATGGATGTTGGGGGTGCGTACGGTGGTGGAAAGGCGGGGGCGCCGTTCGACCCTATTACATTTGTGCAACGACCACAAGTTATCCTGAGAGCCGTCTGTCTGGTGAGTAATCAACCATTTTTTCGCAGGGCAGTCTTCTAACCTTAACCTGGTCCCCTGATCCGTCGCCCAGTGCGGGGCGTAGTGTAAATCGATTTTGAAAGCGGCCATGATTCCTTGCTGTTTAAAGGGGGTCATCCACATCTTCGCATTAACTGGCTCTTTAAACCTTTAGATACACGACTACTCAGTCATAGATGTGTTAAACAACTTCTAATGCTAAGCCTGTCAACTTCAAACATTTACCACTGGTTGCCACCCACATAGTCACTCATGACCAGTCCTTCACCCCTCTCTTTCAAGTGGCTCACTCATCATTTTTCTATCTCTTTTTCCTATCATTATACCTTTGACATGTCGAACATTTACCTAAATTTTTCCTGTCATCAACCATTTCTAACTGTCATTTTGTCAGTGTGATATGCGTAACTTTTTAGCATGTGATGCATTTAGAAACACTTCACACTGAAACCAACAAGAAATGATGTGACACTCAAATAAAGTATCACCATATTTACTTAAATGGAGTGTGCTGAGAGGTGCAAGGCTTGAGTCATCATTAGTGTATAAGCGGGCAGGATGTAGCTCCACGGTCCTGCGCCCGTGCCCCTTTAGCTATAGATCATGAGCCCCTCCAAGTGTATCAATTCTGACTCGGTTCTTCTATAAATACCTCTAAACTTATCGCATCATTTAACCTAGTTCTCACTGTTTGATTCAAGTCTAATCCCACCAACCTGTACACTACTGAATACTCATGCTTTGTGCCTCTCTGAACGCTGCTTGAAAGTACTAGCTGGAAGATCATGTGTTAGTGCGAAGTTCCGTTTTTGTCATTGAGGAAACAAAATTTTCTTTTCTGTTGCAGCTTTTTGCGATTATTGTCTTCGGCTGCATATCATCGCAAGGTTGGCAGCCAGAGCCAGGGAAAAAAGGAGTAGAGGTCTGTCTGTACAACAAAAATGGCAATGCCTGCAACTATGGTGTTGGCATTGGAGTTATTGCTTTCCTAGCATCTATTGGATTTTTGGCTGGGGAGTACTTGTTTGAGCAGATGTCCTCTGTCAAAACCCGGAAGCATTATGTTCTGGGAGATTTGGGATTCTCTGGGTTCTGGGCTTTCTTGTACTTTGTGGGATTTTGCTATCTGTCCAATCAGTGGGGCAAGAGTGAAGAGACACCAGTTGGAACAAGTAACATGCAAGCAGCTATTGCTTTCTCATTCTTCTCTATATTTTCATGGGTAAGTCTATTTTATATTTGATACAGTTTATATATCCTCTTTACATGTTAAATTATGTTACCTGAATAATTTTTTGTTCAAACTCGTCTTGAGCTTTCATATGTCTATGTTCTATGTACAGGCTGGATGTGCTTGGTTTGCATATCAAAGATTCCGTCAAGGCTCTGATGCTGCCTTTGCTCCAAGCTACGATGCAGATCCTAGCTCAGTGCCTGGTGGCGCTCCTTACTCTTCATACCCTGTGGGTCCTGATGCTGATGGTGGTTACCAAGAGCCTCCATTCTCTGGTTCTCAGAACAGAGGTAAGAGAGTTTCAAAATACTGATTTCTTTTATTGTTTATACTTGAGGTGTATCTCAGCTAACACCCCACCCCCCTCTCCCCTTTTTTTTATTGACTATGTAGGCCCTGGAGACTTCCAGGCACCTGCATACTAAATTACAGGAGGTAACACAGTCTTGTGATAATAGTGCTTGGCTGGCTTTTACTTAGTCCCACAACAGGCGTATAAAATACACCATCGGGGGTTAATCTTGATGTAACTATGAATATTTATGACTTTAGTCAGCCTGCAGAGGCTTTGTTGTGTGGCTTTACTTAAGGTTACATTCATTATCAGTCACATGATGACTTATTGTAGAGCATTCCAGTAGTAATTTTTGTGCGTGACCCAATATTGTTTGGGTACCCTCTTGTCCTGTGACATTCAGCCTGAAATATTGTACAAAGTCATTGAGTAGTGTACATCAAGATTTAGGCTGTTGTGTTTAGGTTTACTCTGCTTCACTTCTGTTTTGTTCTTACCCTTTAATCAGCATTTGTGTTGTAAGATTTTGACCTTATTGTACTTCAAAGTCTCGTAAATTTTATCAAAGCAACTTTATTTTGATTTAAATATATTTGGAAGTAGTAAAATTATGTAGATTGATCAAAATTTAATTTGTTTTAATTAATATTTCCATAGGCTCCATCATATTGATCAAACTAGGTAGCAGAATTGCAGAAGTGTATCTTGTACATATGTGGTAGGAAGCATTAAGTCATTCTTGTTGTGTACAGTCTGTAAGTTTTGATCTGTTAAAACAGTCTTTAGTGATAGTTTGCAGTGGCCTGCATATTGCCTGATAGCTGGTCTCTTTCTTAATTCTCAAGCTTTGATGAAACCTCACAAGCTTTAAAATCTTGTATCATGTAAGTCTCAGTACACCAAGACAGATTTGTCTTGCTGGAAAGTTCCACCATTGTGATTTAATTTTTTTATGAGGGAAGTGTTTTTTTTTCTTTTTGTTAATTTATATTTGTGGTTGAAATGAACTTTGTGGTGTTTATTTTTCTGAATGTCTTAGTATTGGTTTCTGTACCTACTTTCTGTCCCCTTTCCTTACCTCTATTCTGTCTACCTATCTAGTTATCTAGATCATTTCCCCAATCACAAGTAAAGCCTCAGTGCCATTGATTACACATGTTTTCATTGTGTTTTCGTTTTTTTCATTTGCTTTCTTTTCTTCTTTGGAAGTAATTTTCCCCCTTGAAATGAATACTCAACTCTTTAGAATTGTGCTATTAATGCCAGTGTGAAAACATGTGTAGTGTGCACAAGAATAATTGTATTAAGTTCTATGCCCATCAGATTTTGCTCAGTTACTCCCTCTTTCACTATTACACCTGTATCATATCTTAGCTTTTGAAATTTTCAATGTGTTTTACATGCATGTTCATGTTCCATGGCAATATATACCTTGTACTTATTTGTGAACTTAGAGGTATAATTTAAATATTAATAATAAGTATATCTTGTCCTCACGATGTGTGTTGGTACTTTGATGACTCATGACAAACCAAGCACCTAGTCTGGCAAGCAGTATTGTACTGTTGATTAAAGAGAATGGTAATTTTATTATTGTTATGAATTTCCTTAGGGATGTTTTAGTTTTATGAAGGCACAAAGTATGTAGCCACCATTCTGGAAAACAAATCATCCTCATCTCCTATTTTTTTTGTTTATATAGTCATTGGTGTTGTGGGACTTGACCATCTCATCTGGTTGCTTAACCGAATGTGTCAGAAATGTGAGTAATGAGCAAATGTTAACCTTCACGTGTGTTTCTACAGTGGAGACCTTTTCACTCAGATATGTTATTATTTTTAATGTCATCTGAAAACGGTTTCAGAACCATTTTGATTACTAAGGTACATCTATTAGTAGTGCCTGTGAGACTTAAAAATTCAAGCAATTTTCTCACATTTTCATTACTTGCTCTTCAAATTAAGCCAGAGTTAATTGTGATAACGGTCAAAGAGATTACTCTTTCAAAAATGTTTTCAAATTAACATAAATATGTATGTTGTGTGTGTACTCTCGCACTAGTGTAAATGAACATCTCTTGAATGAAGCAAGCAAGATGCATCTATAATTTTTGCTTTCCTGTTTTGTTATTAAGAAATTCGGGGCCAAAGAGGATTGAGTTGTCATTTGGTGATTGGTTACGCAAAGAGTGTCTTGGTGGTAAGTGAAAGGTAATTTCCAAAATTTATGTGCTCATGAAAGGGGATCTGAACATTCTTCACTTGAATTTCTGTGATCTCAGTATTACCTGCTTTTACTTTTCATCTACATATGTTTCCAATTTTGAAGATGACAATTATGTACCTCAAGAGAATAACCATATGAAAGTAGGAGCTAGGCAGATCTCTTACATTCTTGACAGCCTAACACTAATCTCCACTTACTTATCTCATGCTAACTTATGTTTTGAATTGATCTAAGACTTGATCTCACTATCCTTACAGACAAGTCCTCCTCAAAACATCATGTCAGTATGATGCCCTGTTCATAATATGCTTGTTTGCTTGTAGAAAGGGTGACGACAATACTGTCAACTTTGTAGTTTGACAAATTTTCCTGGACTTCTTGCAGTTCTACAATTTATATGCTGTTTAAGTGTGTGTGTTTCTATGTCCTGGTTTATAGCAAATTTGAGGCCTAGTTCTGTATGCTCTACAGGTCCTCTGGTCCTGTTTATTACTGTACTTTGCAATGTGAGCCTGAGTCAATGTCTTGTAATTTTTGTACAAGATAAATAATGAATGTCGAAACACTTTTTAAATGTTTTGGAGAACCATCGAGATGATGACAGCTGGTGGTCTGATAAGCTCTACAAACAATGAAGTTGCATGTCACACTTTTTCTCCTTGGTTAATGCAAATTAGAGGAAACTTGTGGAATTAAACTACTATTTATTTCAAATAATTCCCAGTATCTGAGAATACCTATCATGTTTCCCTTTTATTTTTTAGGTAGGCGGCCTTGAATACCAAAGATTTACTTCAAAGAGCATTCAAGTCTTCGTCTTTTTGCCATTTCCTGTGTGATTTTCATGCTTGTTTGACTGCCATGTACATCAAGTAGCTAAGTTTGTCAATAGTTTAATATATCTACTTCTTTTTTCAGTTTAGCCACTTAATCTTGTGGCTGCTCTGAGCTAGAGAGTTTAATCATCATGTAGATGTACCAATATCTCCCATTGAAATTTATTAATATTGCTCAGTTTAATGGGCATTGTTATATCCCATTTTCAATTGGAATTATGTCCTTTGTGTGAAATTGATCTGTAACTGCACAATTTGATCTGTGGAGGTCTGAGGATATTTTTTTGAAAAGATAACATTTGCTTTGAAAATTTGCATTTTCATGTTTCTTTGCCAAAGATTGTAAAATTCAGGCTGATTTTCTTTTCATGATTTGATTATTCTCTATTTTCTGATACTTCACTCTATGGACTATACCTCCTCACATTTTGGTTTATGCATTCTTGGTCTTAATCTATGTGAAGAGACCTTTTTATTTTAGTCATTTTCTGAAAAGTATTCAAGTTTGTAGGTGTAGCTATTCGTGTTACAGTTACATGAAGTTGCACAGTGCACAGCAATCCATGACAGAATACCAAGTGCAGGCAATATATGTGGTTTTGGAGTTGTCAAACCAGGCTGAAATTTACATGAGCTAGGTAGTGCTGTTCCAATGCAGAGCGTTAATGACAATGCCTGATTTTATATTTTATCTTGCTTTTTTACTACCTTAAATTTTCTGCAATATTTGTGGTATGTAGAGCAACTAATGTTTCTCTGTGTGTATTTTTCAGATTATTTTTTTCATATTTTCTCTCTGAAAAGGCTATTTTACATTGTGTTATTGCCACCTTTGCTGTTACAATCTTTTGGAGGTATCAATTTCCTCAAATTCATGAGAATTATACTTTCAGTGGCAGTTCACAAGATCCACCCCTCAGTTCACATTTTGCTGCTTGGTGTATCTAGTCGTTGCTTCAAAACTGTTGTTACATATAGAGCGCTGTAAATTATGTGTTGTCTGTTGACTGTAGAAAATGTATATTGGGAAGTAACTTTTGACTGTCAATAAATACTGTGAGAAAAACATTTCATTGCTACCTTACTTGGAAAAATGTAACACATTTCTTTTCCTTTTTTATTAAGTTTTTAAATCATAACAAGTTATTCATGCTAAAAATATATTTATTTAGAATGTCTAATTTACAATAACTTTTTATCCAGAGGCTAAGCTAGGAGTTGGCGGAGAACACAAAGTAATACCTTTTTAAGAGTCTTCAAAGGCAAGAAAAGCTTCGCTGTGACTTCAGGTGGTAGTTCCCAGCTCTTACGACTGTTCTGAGATTTTCTTGTAGTTTGCTAAGGTGCACCGGGAAATGAGATCTTTTTTGAGACGAACATGCACTATGTTAATTTTCGATGTAATCGTTGCTCTATGACGCGGGACCTCGAGGCAAAAAGCTCGCCCCCTCTCTCCGGTTGGCTCCTACCGAAATGACAATTGAAACTCTGCATTGACTTGTGTTTCAGCTTCGTTTATAACTCGTCTCCGGATTTCATATGAACTGACGTGATGTCGTTATAACTCTCCTTGAATTGAAGTTGAAATCACGTACGGGCAGTCAAAGGCTTTTGGTTCTGAAACATTTCGAGGTGAGAGGTATATCTACACAACGGCTATGTGTGAGTACGACGGGTGATGGCGAGGAACAATGTTAGCGTGATGAGTTAATTGGAAATGACGTGCATTATGCAGTGTACAGAAGCGTAAAGAGACAGACCCCGAAGAAGCTATCCTACACGTTGTGCTTGTTAGCAGTTAAGTCATTCCCTCGCCTCATACCCCTACTTTGTACTTGGCGTCCACCAGGACATCGGGATGACGATGTCCCGTGCGGATCATCTTACACCCTTATACTACTCTAATGTTATGGAGTTTGTTAGTGAAATGCAGACCCTGGTACGAACACGTAAAACTACTGCAGCAGCACCACTCGCTACGGATAGCATTCAGCTTTATCTTATTCGGCTTAGTCAACAACTACTACTACTTATGCTATGCAACCCCGCTGCTGAGCTGGCGTGGCCGAAGTGCCCCCTTTCGCCCTTCCCTTGGAAACCCATTTTCCTCCCGCCTCATCTTAATTAAATCTGTCCGATCACTCGTTCCGAAAGAGACAACTCGTTCGTCGCGTGCAGCCAGCGAGCGCGTTCAAATCGAACGGGCACGAGGGAAGGCCCCGGGCCCCAGACGACCTGAACGTCGCGCGCTGGATGCTATTTAAGGGAGAGGGTCAACGACATCGACCCGGATATAGTTCTTCGTTAAACACACCAGTAGAAAAATTTAATGACTAGATTTCCACTTGAAATTTAGAAGTTTGTGGGCCATCCCTTGGACCACAGCTAATCCAGCACTCCCGGGATTTTTCTCTTTTTTTTTGGGGGGGGGGGGCGGCTACCCTTACCTTGCCAGCCCAGCCAAATATAGTTGTTCTGAGGGGGCGGCGCACCGCGGCGCAAGTCAACCGCGCCGCGGTCTCGCTAACTTGTTGGTAACTTTGGACCACCATAATGGCGAGGACACACTACTACTGTAAATTTCACCTAACCTAGTGCATGAATGACTATGATGACGATGCGATGAAAGACGCGAGTTGGTGAAGTGTTGGTTAGGAGGATGAGTACATGCGATATGATTTGTGTTCAGTCTTTGGCCGTGACGTCCCAAACAGTACAGGTTCCGAAAGTTACACCGGGAAGAGCCGTCCGGGGAGGGGGGG